GCTCCCTGCAGACTTTCTCCACTAGCTAACCCCACGGGAGGGAGAGGCAATGCTTCCAGAGACCGAGCAGCTGCCGAGACCACTCCTCACAGTGAGTGAGATCGACACGAAATCTAGGTTTGTCTATTTGCAGGACCCCTGAAGCTGTAGCAGGCACATCACAGTTTAAGTGAGGAGACCGGTGAAAATCCCAGGAGGCTCAAAGCTAACACCTCGGCTGCCTCCAACGCCGACTTGTTCTCCGGGGCTCATCCTTGTTTTAATAAGAGCAGCGCCTTCCTGTGAATTACGCGAAGACTAAAGAAACAAAACCAGCCGCTCTATGGGGAAAGGAGAGTTAGCAAAGCCTCTATTTCTGTTTTCGTTGGGGCTAGTGGTGCTAAGCAACTGAAGTCTCAGGGCTGCTCTTGTTTTAATTGTTTACAAGGGACATCCTCCGATACAGTCGGGTTTTATGAATCTCAGCTCACGCCGGCGGCCAGACACGGCGGCCTCCTCTCGAGAACAGGACGGTGAGGGCCTCGGGAGGGCCGCTCGCAAAGTCGCGGCTCCTTTACACCGTGGTGGGTCTTTCCTGCCAGGGAGGTGCCCGGGCCTCAGGCTGCCTGGCCTCAGGAAATAGGTGATGGCTATTGCCGGTCCCCGCCCGTCCATGCCGTGCTCACGCTCCACGCGGCAGACATCACAACACTCACGGCGGGTCCTCGATCTCGTGTCACGTCTACAACAGGAGGGTCTGCCTCTCAAGAAGCTAAGTTGACCCCGTTGGGCATCACACTGGCCCGGGACCCAGCGGCCAACATGCAAAATTAACTACTGGGTCCAAAAAGCTACTTAAACTGAGCACCCTAGTTCTTGGCTTTGGCAGGCTTATTTTAATTTTTTTATTAATTTCAGAGAGAGAAAGGGAGAGGAAGAGAAACATCAATGACGACATTGACTGGCTGCCTCCTACGCGCCCCCTACTGGGGATGGAGCCCGCAACCCTGGCATGCGCCCTGGTTTTCAAACCAGTGACCTCCTGGTTCATAGGTCAACTCTCAACCACTGAGCCACGCTGGCCAGGCAGCTCTGGCAGGTTTTAACAGAAATTTTGGCAAAGCTTCAGGATAGACAGATCTTTCCACCCTCCTTAGAAAATGAGTTAAATAGGGGTGGTGAGCAGGCAGGGTGGCGGACGGTTGAGATCCAGTGCCAGCTGGGGTGGCCCCCCGTTGCCGGTGGCCAATCATACACAGCCTGTGCCCACTGCAGCCAGGGCTCCCCCCATGAGTCACCCCTTCTCCAAGCACACCCATTACAGCGGGTGCCCTGCAGAGAGCGAAGGACCCAGAGCTGGGCACAGGAGGCTCTGTAACGGCCCAAGCACACCTCGGGCGTTCACAGAGCGTTTTCGCACAGGTTGAAAACTCATTTTTCACTGACAGCTGCTTAGGGAGGAATGTGCCAGGACAGCCGTCCAGGGCTCCACAGAGGCAGCAGGCCCAGCCCTGCTCCAGAGCCACCTGATCCCCGCGAAGGCCCAGTTTTCAGAGAACACATTAGGGGAAGCCCGGCGCTTGTTAGGTACTCAGTCAACTTGGGGACCTTCTCTTGTTATTTGGGGGAGAGTGAACACAGCAGCCCCCGGGACCCAGTGGCCTGTGCCCTATTTTTTTCTGGAACACCCGAACTCTCATCTCAGCAACTTTGCCCGGCCAGCGCCAACATCTGCAGGCTCCAGCTCTGAGTGTCTGGGAAGGACCAGGGCCCTAGGCCCACTCTTCCCCCAGCACTGAGTGGTCTCGGGCAAGCCTCCTGCCCTCTCTGGCTCTTGCTCCCTCACTCATTAATGGGGATACCCCCGCCCCCCCATGTCAGAGTTGTGGTAAAAAACACCTGCTCCTGGCACTCAGTCGCTCCTTCACATACGGTGAGACTCAGCTTAGACCTCACCTCTTCCAGGAAGCCTTCCTGACCCCTGTGCCCAGTGTCCGCATGGGGCGTGACCTAGAGCAGGAGGTGTTCAGCCAACACCTGTAAGTAGGTGTCCCTTCCTGGGTACTGCAGGCAGCGTGGGGCTTCACGCTGGTTCCAAACTCTCTCCCCCCGCCTCCCTTATATAAAGGATTTCTGTCTAAGGTGTTATCTGAAGTGAGAACTGCACTCCTGAAAACAAGCTCCCAAGCATCCCAAGCAACCCAGGCATGCAGTGTTTCAGTCGCTCAGTCTCAGGAAGTAACTGCCTCAGTTCCTGCTCTGCCCAAGGGAGACAATCTCGTCCGTCCGTCCCTGGAGGTATGTGTGAGGACAGAGCAGGGTGCTGGGTGAATGAGCTGGGCCATAGTTCCCGGCTCTCCTGCCGGGCTCGAGCCCAGGGCAGAACCATCAATCGCAGGCGGACAAGGCCCGGGGCTGTGGCACCACACTGTGCCCAAGGCCGGCCAGTGCCAGCCAGCTACCCCCAGAGGCCCAGAAGCTCCTGGGCACACAGAAGTGGAGGGGCAAGGAGGTGGGGGGCAAGGAAACCGAGGAAGAGACCACAGGCAGAGAAGTAAGGCAGCAATCGGCGGGTGTAGAGACGAGAGCCCATCCTGAAACACAGCCTGGGCCCCACTGCAGGGAGACTTTGCCCCTCTAGCCTTGGTCCATCCACCCGGGAGGTAACATTGGCAAACTCCATGAGCCCAACGAGATGGGATGTCCTGCAAACAGACGGAGAAGAGGAAGAGGCAAGGCCCAGGCAGGAGGCAGGACCACAGGCAGGATGAATACCCAAGGGCCACAGGGGCTCTCCCTCCTGTAGCACCAGCCCAGAATTCCAAAGACCAGGGCACGCGTGACCAAGCAGTAAGGGACAACCACTCTGCCCCATCCACATTCCATTCCCAGGGAGCGGGGGTGGCACTGGTGGTCGCCTCTCATGCCCCGTGGCCCTGTTCCATGCCCCACTCTGCCCCCCAGTCTCTATGAGAAGACCAGTGAACCCCCTTGCCTCTCTGGGCCTCAGTTTCCCCCCTTACAATAGAAGGGGTTGGCAGAAGTGGTCTCCGGGAGGCTCCAACATGCCAGGATTTTCTGCCCCAGTGGATGGGAAGCCAAGAAACAGAGCCTCCCAGGTTGGTTCTGTTTAGAGTATGGATGCTGCTAGAAAAACGTGCGGGGCCATCCTGGATCTGAGCCCGGCCAGCTGCTGCCAAACCTCCTGGCTTGGGTCACCCCAGGGAGGATTAGGCTGGGAGCCCACCCCCAGGAGAGCCCTCGTAGGCCGCGGAGACCTGTCGCGTCTCCCTGTGCACGCCTGCTTCGGGATTGTGTGTTTGTGATCTCTCCCTGCTGGAATGCAAAGCCCCTGGGGCAGGGGCTACATGGTATTTACCCGTCTCTGTATCTACCATGCCCGGCCCAGGGCCCAGCACAGGGGGCTCAGGAAGGTTCTGACTCCAGCTCCTAAGGTCCCCAGTGCTGTGAATTACCCCAGAGAAGCCATGTCCCGGCCACACCTGCAGGCCCAGTATCAAGCCCAGGGCTCGCTCGAGGTGGGCGTCTGCGTGTCGTCAGGATGCTCACGCTCCACCCCTGCGCACGCACACACACACACGCGCGTGTGGCACAAACCCTGACCCTATTTCCTCCTGCCTGTTTTCGTCTCCAGGTGCCTAAAGGTCCCTTAAGGGCCTCTGTCTAACAAGGGGGGAAACTGAGGCCAGAGCGGGCCATGGCCCCAGGGCAGCGGCACGTTTCATGACTGCCAACAACCACACTGCATGCCCTCCCCCGGGTATCCCAGCGAGGGCTAATGTAGCATTAGTTGTAATTAACTAATTATTCCTCCTGCCAACCAGCGGAGGAGGCTGGGGGTGGGGAGCCCCCCGATGACTCATCCGTGTTTACAACATGCAAACCCATTTAAGAGCTTGTAAAGTTGCTATAAATGGCCTTTTGGCAACAGGGGAATAACGATTCCCTGTCTCCAGCTGCCAGTCTAACAATGGTTGGGTTGGGGCTTCAGGGACCAGGGTTCGAAGATCCAACAGCGCCACCTGGGGGCCATGTTCCAAAATGCTCTGCTGGGGCCGGCCACAGGGACGCCGGCTCCGGTCCACACCCCAGAATCCAGGGCCTCAAAGCCCACTCTCCCTGCCCCCTCCCCCTCCCCCGTTCACAATGGGGAAACTGAGGTACAGGGGAGGACAGGACCTAGTCTTTAGTTGCTTAGCTGCTTTGAAAACGTTCACGGTCTAAGCCTGAAATAGCAGCTGCAATAGTTATGCCGGGGGAGCTTAAATTCTGTAAAATGCGAGTTTGGGGGAGACACTGTGAACCAAATTCCCAGACTCACGTGGTGCCCTTTCCCCTCCCTCTTCACCTGAGACCTCTGCTCAGCTGCAGCCTCCTGCACCTAGTCACCCTCCCCAGGCCTTTACCTACCCAAGGCGTTGAACCTCTAGGGGAGGCTCCAGCAGGCCCAGGGTCAGAGGGCTGTGCCACACATGCTCTGTGATGCAAACTCGGTTCCTAACAGACTGACCCACGGGAGGGAACGACAAGTGGACATAAACAAGGCAAGCCAGTTCCAGGTGAGACCAGAGTGCAGGGACACCGACTCCCCGTGTGACATTCCCTCCACTGCACCCCAAGATTGAAGTCACATTAACTGCCAGTGAGCGGGGGACTGTGCCGAGCCAGGGACAAGCCTTAAACCCTGGTGATCTGGTCTGAGATTCACGGCGGTGAGACGCAGAGGCCTCTTCAATCCACCTGTTTACAGGTGAGGAGACCGAGGCCCACAGCTGAGATGGGTCCCACAGGCTCTAGCCACCCTGGGCGCTCCTGTAGGTGCTGGATGGACGGGGGGTGCTGGGGGTTCCAGCTAGGCCCTGAAGGGCAGGTGGGAGCGGACTTAGAAAGGGGGCTCAGGCGGGAGCCAAGGTGGCCCAGAGGTCTTCCGGCCCAGTTGGCACAACAGGCTGGGAAGATGAGGGGACGACTGCGCAGATGCGGACGCCTTGGCTACTCACCCACAGTCATGCCGTCCATGTAGCGCTTGACGATGTCGAAGGAGTCCCGCAGGTTCCCTTCTGTTATGTCGAAGATGAAGTCCGCGTGGTTGTCAGGATACGCTGGCGTGATGGCGCGGAGGAAGATGATCTCTGCGGAGGGAGGCGCAGTGTGGGGGTGCGGCTCGGGCTCCAGGGGGCTCCCCAGGCGCACCCTCGGGTGCTGAGAGCCCGCGCGGGACCCTACCCCTGAGGGCTGGCTCCCCAGGCCTGTCCTGGTAATGACCAGACCAGAACCAGCTTATCCACTCCTGAGTCACACGTGAACCCACCACAAGTAACACCTGAACCCACCGCAAGTCACAGCTGAAACCCACTGTCGAGTTACACATGAAACCCGCCATGAGCACCACGTGAAACCTGCCATGAGTGCCACGTGAAACCCGCCATGAGCGCCACGTGTAATCCGCCATGAGCGCCACGTGAAACCCGCCATGAGCGCCACGTGAAATCCGCCATGAGCACGTGTAATCCGCCATGAGCGCCACGTGAAACCTGCCATGAGCGCCACGTGTAATCCGCCATGAGCACGTGTAATCCGCCATGAGCGCCACGTGAAACCTGCCATGAGCGCCACGTGTAATCCGCCATGAGCACGTGTAATCCGCCATGAGCGCCACGTGAAACCTGCCATGAGCGCCACGTGTAATCCGCCATGAGCACGTGTAATCCGCCATGAGCGCCACGTGAAACCTGCCATGAGCGCCACGTGTAATCCGCCATGAGCACGTGTAATCCGCCATGAGCGCCACGTGAAACCTGCCATGAGCGCCACGTGTAATCCGCCATGAGCACGTGTAATCCGCCATGAGCGCCACGTGAAACCTGCCATGAGCGCCACGTGTAATCCGCCATGAGCACGTGTAATCCGCCATGAGCGCCACGTGAAACCTGCCATGAGCGCCACGTGTAATCCGCCATGAGCACGTGTAATCCGCCATGAGCGCCACGTGAAACCTGCCATGAGCGCCACGTGTAATCCGCCATGAGCACGTGTAATCCGCCATGAGCGCCACGTGAAACCCGCCATGAGCACCACGTGTAATCCGCCATGAGCACGTGTAATCCGCCATGAGCACCACGTGTAATCCGCCATGAGCACCACGTGAAATCCGCCATGAGCATGTGTAATCCGCCATGAGCACCACGTGTAATCCGCCATGAGCACCACGTGTAATCCGCCATGAGCACCACGTGAAACCCTCCATGAGCACCACGTGGAACCCGCCATGAGCACCACGTGGAACCCGCCATGAGCACCACGTGAAACCCTCCATGAGCACCACGTGAAACCCTCCATGAGCACCACGTGAAACCTGCCATGAGCACCACGTGAAACCCGCCATGAGCACCACGTGAAACCCATCACGAGTACCACACGAACCCTTAAGGATTGAACCATAAGGACTGGAACCTGAGCACGGAGCCCCTTCAGAAGCCAAGGGTCTATTATCCAGGGAGATCTGGTGCTGGTACCCCGTGGGCCCCGCCCGAGCCCTGGCTCCCAGCTCCCTGCCCCCCAAACTTGCACGTAAAGGCCCTTTCTCTCCTCAAAGCCAGCACTGTAGTATTGGCTCCTATGACATCAGGCAGTGAGCCCTCACTAGGTAACAGGCCTCCCTGCATGGAAAACAGGGTAGGGTGCTGAAGAGGTCAGAGGTCTAGCCCTACTTCCTACCCATGGGGAAACTGAGGCCGGGAGAGATTCTGGCTCTTTCCTGATCAGGAACTAATAGGCGGCAGGGCTAGATTCCTAGTAACTCGCCAGGAATCTTCATGAAGTTGGAAGACAGGGAGGGGCCAGGAAGGGCAAGGGAACAGGCTGGTCTCCTGCCCATGGTGACACTGGTGGGCCAGCCACTTCCCGGGTGGGCAGGGCAGCTGGGTAGTTTTGTCCATCTCCCAGGCCACAGGGCATGAAGCGGGGCAGCTGCCCTGGGCTGGAGCACAGGCCCCGCCTCTGCCCTGGCTCTGGGCCATCACCAGGGGGTCCCCTCTCTGGGCTCCAGTGTCCCTGTCTGTAAAGTGGAGGAGCAGCGCCCACTAAGGGTCCTTTCAGCACCAAAGGTCAGGCCTGGATTTTCTGGGCCCCAGGTGCTAACAGGTGTCTCCAGCCACAGCCACTCCCTGTAGAACCAGCAGAGACCCGCCCTGGGAGAGGCCACAGTCGGCCGCTAGGGCTTCGGGAGGATTTGCCTGTAGTCTGGCGGATGCATCATTTTGCTGGAGGCGAAAACCAGTCAGTGCCTTTCTCTGACCCAAGTCTGTCCCACCCTGGGGAGGTTCTGTGCCTCCCAGGGCCAAGTCAGCGGGTGGGAGGCCGGCCACCTGCTCCTTGAGGCGACCACGTCTGTGGGGAGCCTCTCCTGCCCTTGCCGCCCCCACATCAGGCCTAGGTTCTGGCACGTGCCCGTGTCGCCTGCAGGACCTCGCACGTGAAAACACGGGGTGTAGTCGTCGTGTGGGCTGAACGGCCCTCCCTGGGACGGTCGGAGGGCTTGTTCTCACCCCTGGGTCCCAGAGACCAGCCCCCAGCCTGACTCGCGGGAGGCTCGTCCACATTTGCTGAGTGGCAACCGTGGCCAGCTCCTCAGGAGGCCCAGGATGGAGACTGCGGCGAGGAAAGGGGCCGCTGGAGGCCACGCCAGCGCTGGCATGCGGGCTGCACCCCCAAAGCTAGGTGTACAGAGTAGGACCACATTCACAGCCTCCGCCAGGCGCTGGGAGCTGCTGCCCTGGTCCCAGCCCAGTGAGCAGTGGGCAGGCAGGAGCTCCCGGCAGGGCAGGGCTGGCACCGGAACACGGCTCCCTGGACCCAGCCTAGCCGCTCCAGTCCACCTCCCCCGGTGTCCAGGGCGGATTCCTATCGGGCTCTCCCTTACCCTTCAGCTCGTGTCTTGCTGAGCCTCTCCTGCTCCAGCCAGAAAAACTAGGCTTAGTTCCTCAAATGCCCACACTCCCCACTCGCCTCCAGACCTTTCCAGACCTGTTCTGCTCTGCCTGGCACCCTCCTCTCCACTTTCACTACATTACCTCCTCTTGACCACTCGAGCCCTGCAGTAAAAGTCACTACCTCCTGGAGGCCCTCCCAGATTCCCCAGCACTTGCCACATAATCAACATTTCATTGCTATTTGCTGAATGACTGTTACCTAGAAGAGTCCCTGAACTGGGAGCCGGAGTGGGCTGGGACTGGGGACATGGAAGACATGTGGGGGTGGGGAGAGGAGGGGCTACAATTCAAACCCCAAACCCACATCTTACCCGGGGGGGCTGCCTCGCAGGGAGCTTCCCTAGACAACGGCCTCCCCTGAGGCCCCTCAAGCCAATTCCAGGCTGTGGGGGTCGCCACGTACCTTCCGGGTGGGCGAACTCGCGGAAGGTGGGCAGGGAGACGACAGTGTGGGAGATGGTGTGCACCAGGTCCAGCATGCAGGTGACGTCGTTGGGGCGGCAGGACTTGATGCAGCGGATGGTGTCTGTCTTTTCCTGGCGGGGCCTGTGGGAACCAGAGCACAAGAGGCGGGTGGGAAATCGGACCCAGCACTCCTGCAGCGACGGGGCCAGGGGAGAGCGGCAGGCCAGCAGGTGGCCAGGCGGCCAGGCAGAGACACTGGCCCCAGGTGGCTCCGTTGGAGAACCAGTGGCCTCCAAAGCCCAGCCGCTCTGTGGGGATGCCTCAGCCCCTTCCTGCAAACTGGACCAGGCCCCAAGGCCAGAGGCATGCCCCAGTTTCTGGCTGCCCGGCTGTGGGTTAGCGAGGTTTTGCTATTTGCCAACTGGATGAACTGAGCTCCAGCTTCTTTTTTAAAGATATGTCTTATTGATTTTAGAGAGAGAGGAAGGGAGAGGGGTAGAGAGAAGCTTTGATGGGAGAGAAACATCATGGATCGGCTGCCTCCTGCACGCCCCCTACTGGGGATCGAGCCTGCAACCCGGGCACGTGCCCTGACCGGGAATCGAACCAGTGCCCTCCTGGTTCATAGGTGGACACTCAACCGCTGAGCCACGCCAGCCAGGCCTGAGCTCCAGTTTCCACAAGAGCGAACACATGCATCCGTTCACTCGCTCAGCAAGTCTGTTTCGAGTGCCTGCTGGGTGCCAGGCACCGGGGACACCAAGGGAGTCCCCCCTTCATGGAACCCTCGGTCGGGTGGGTCGCAGGGGTCGTAAACAAGGGAGCGTGTATATAAAGTGGCCAGCTCGGGGCTCAGCACAAATTCAAGTCTACAGTTCGGGTGATGGACGGGAAGGGGGAGCGGAGGCGCCGTGGCTAGAGGTCTATGTTCCGGGCCTAGGACTAGACATGCTTTTAAAACCTTTTTTGTCATAAAACACAAATAAAAATGCAACACAACACAAAGCTAGAGTTCAAGAAGCATCGTAAGGCAAATGCAGGTGCAGAAAGAGAGCTTCGCCCACCCCCTGAGGCCCCTTCACCTGACCCAGGCCGGCCCCCTCCTGCACCCCCACAGTGAGCCCTGCCCTGACTCCCCGGCACCGCCTCCCCGGGCTTCTCTATAGTTTCTATCACACACGTGTGCATCTTGAGACACATTGAGACTTGTCAGTTAAAATTTTTTATGTCTTTTAAGTCTGTCTGTTAATCCTCACACCAGGATATTCTTTTTTCCATTGATTTTTTTTTTTCGGAGAGAGTGGAAGGGAGGGAGGGAGGGAGTGGGAGAGAGAGAAACACGGATGTGAGAGAGACACATTGGTTGCCCCCCGCACCACCCTGACCAGGGCCAGGGATCAAACCTGCAACCCAGGTACGTGCCCTATGACCAGGAATCGCACCCGTGACTCTCTGGAGCGCGGGCTGGCGCTCTAACCGCTGAGCCACACCGGCCAGGGCTTAAGTCCCTTTTCCGCTACAGGTTGCCCTCCATTCTCTTCATGTTCGCAACTGCTCTGCTTCAGAACGGAAGCACCTGCGCTGTAGAGCTTCCTGCCCCTGGACCTGCCGGCTGTGTCCCCACGGTGCGGCTCGGGATGCTGGTCGGTCCCGTGTTCCCTGCACACCAGCAGGCGACCAGATCCCGGCTCAGACGCAGGCCCAGTCCCACTGTCCAGAGGACAGCTGGTGGCGCATCTTCCGCCAGGGGGCACGTGGCGTCTGGTCGTCTCTCTTTCTGTGAGGTCAGCAGCTCTTATGCTCAGGCCGAGACCCACTGACGCATCGGGGACTGCATGTTGTTTTTTTCATTTATTGGTTGGAAAACTTCTGTAACGAGATTCACGCTTAATTCTTCCGTGCTGTTCACCAGTGTTCAGGGTAATGAACTAGCCGGTGCATGATTTAAATATCGGTATGTGCTCAAGGACTTAAACTATCTGAAGAATTTCAATCCGTTGCAACTATTGTCCTTTGTTGGAGAGCAAGTGTTCCCATCTTTGGCCAGGGAGGGGGGAAAATCAGATCAGCCCCAGGAGCCTCTGAAAGCTCTCTTGTCATCTGCTACGAAAAGGTGGTGCAGCCTCACCTTGGACCTTTATTGCCACAGCTATTTCTCCAAGAAGTTTTGGGTTTGGCTTTTAATTTAATTTTTATTTTTTTAGTGGAAATGGTATTTCAAAGTCACAATCCGGATGCCAGGGTTACTCAGTGCCCCTGAGCTGGTCACTGCTTCTAGGCCTCTGCAGTGGACATTTTTAAACATAAAATACATCACGAGTTCATACAGATATTTCCGATTCAAAACAAGGATTGTACAGTTATCGTCCTTAATTTCTTTTCTATTACAAAGGAATCTCCTCTCTTCCATAGCAGAATCCTGGTTCTTAAGAACATGGGAGATGATAAAATATCCTAAATTTATTTATTTAGTTTATTCCAAAGAGTAGTCTCAGAACAACAATACTAAAATGACCACCACTAATTACTTAAAATAATGTGGTTTTTTGGCTATGTCTCTCCATTCTACCTATAAATTTTAAATAGATGTGCTATATCTACACTGTCTGAGCATATAGCAGTGCATACTCTTTTTTCTTATAACACTCACTTAGCTGTAGTTCTATGAGTAACTCTGCTTAATGCCTGCATTTTGATAATAGTTTGTGCTCTTTGCACACAAAAGACAGTTTTGTTGGGTATAAAATCCTGGCCTTACATTTTCTTGAGCATTCTAATAACTCATTTTCTTCTTGAAAGAAGTCTTGCTGTGGAAAAGTCTTATAATAATACAATTTTTTCCCTTAGAAGTCACTTGCTGTTTTTGCCTAGATGCCCGTAGTTTTGTTTCTTTTTCTCTTTAAAGCCCAACAATTTTATTACTCTATGGGTTTTTTTAGCGACTGTACTGATTTTATTACTTTTACTAAGCCATTTTATTTTCCCCACACTCAATGCAAAGAAATTAAACGATATAAAAAAAATACACCCTCATTATTATTCACAATAAGAAGGGTCTCCTGCATTCTGCAGGCCTGGCCGGATTGTACCGGAGGGAGCATGTCGTGGCTCAAGCAGATCAAAGCACCGTTTTGATTCTGACCCGCCGAACAGAATCTCATGCAGATTTGGTGACTGGACTAACTCCGCGGGAGCTGTGATAGACAGAACCATTTCTGTAGTATCCTTCGATCTCAGTAAATAAGACCCATACAAGAAAAGATAATCACTCTGCCCATAAATTGTGCCTATAGACTTTTTTATTTTTTAACCCTCACTTGAGGATATTTTTTCCATTGCTTTTCAGAGAGAGTGGAGGCGGAGGGGGAAAGAGAGAGAGAAACATCAATGTGAGAGAGGGAGAGAGACAACATTGATTGGTGGCCTCCAGCATGCGCCCTGACCTGGGGATGAAGCCTGCAACCGAGGAACGTGCCTCCTTGGCCGGAATTGAACCCGGGACCCTTCAGTCCACAGGCTGACACTCTAACCTCTGAGCAAAGCGGGCCAGGGCTCTGGGCTCCTTCCCTAGTGTAAGGTAGAAAAGGGGCCCCTTCTCGAGCACCTGGACACAGGCACTGCTGCGGCCTGAAGACTGCTAGGTTGACGCCACGTCTGTTACAGAGAAGACAAGGCAGGCGTCAAAACCACTGCGAGGCTAAGAAACCTCCACAACTCGCCTCCGTTCCTCAAACAGGGGAGCCCGTTCCTTTTCTAGGCTGACAGGTCCTGGCATTGGCACCGCTGCTGGCTACGGAACTCACCACCAGGGCTAAACAACTGAGCTGAGCCACCTGACAGGTGCCAGAGTAACGGAGGACACGTTCATTTTGTGAAAGTCCAAGTTTGCGCCCTTGGTCCGTCGCAAGGGCAAAAGTAGATGAGAAACCAGGTCTCAAAGGAAGCTCGGGAGGGTCATCGGCCACCCTGGTAACAGGCACTCGGTCTCCGTCTGACGCACCAGCGCGGGGCCCTTCAACTCCTGGAAACTTTTCATACGGGAGTCACCGGAGGTCGCCGCCAGGACAAACCCGCTTCTCCCCCAGGCTCCAGGCCCACGCCCCGCTTTCTGGGCCGCCCGGGCCGCCGGGTTCGGTGTCTGCTGCCACCTCCGGCAGCTTCAAAGACCTACGTCTCGATGTTGGTCGCTCTGAGTAGGTGTGTTCAGGTATGTTGTGTCGTCTTTCAAATGGAATTTCAATGTTAAAAAAATTTCCGTAGAGTTTCTTGAGTTAACTTTTTATTTTTTAGCATTTGGTTTCCCACCCCCTTGCTTTGGGTCAGCTCCTCAGAGATTTCTATTATTGGCACATTAGTAGCCTTTGCCTACTTTCAATATCTGTCACTTTCTCTCGAAGCCTTTTCATCTCTTGTTTTTTGATTTATAAAAGTTTTTCTTTTCAGCTTCTCTTTCTCTTATTTGTTTCTGAAATTGCTTTTTCTTTTGCTTTCCTATTACATTATTTCCTGAGTTTCATCACTGTTTCTCAGTTTCTCCCAATTCTGACTTATTTTTCTTCCACTTTTAACCATTTTCTTAGTGCCTTTCGTTTGCTTTGACGTAGGTTCCAGTTTCGATCTAGTCTGTGAGCACATCTTTCTGGTATTTACCCAGAGGGATTCAAGCCGTTCTTTATTCTCTGTTTTCTTACAATAACTTTGTATGAGATGTAACCTTGATAGTTGAATCAAGGTTAAATCGGTTGAACCTTTTTATGTGAAACTAGTTTTCCTAAAATTTTAGTAAGAGGCAGGGTTCACGGTGGGGTATTTTTTGACTCCACGGAGCCCCCTCATCTGTCCTTTTGGCAGCTTGCTTTCTGACATCCCTCTCCCTGGACAGTCCCCATTGTCTCTCTTCCACTCCATTTTCTACTTCATGTTCCAGCAATTTTTGCATAGTGCGGGGCCCTGAGCTTCAGGGGAGCCTGGTGGTTCAGTTTCGAGGATCCCTAGGGACCGGATCGCTCCATCCCTGCACTCCCTCTGCAAGCCCCGCGCACGCGGGCCGCGGGGGGAGCGACGTGCCTCCCCGTCTCGGCTGCCCCCCAGCCGGTCTAGGGGGCTTTGTACCTGGGAGCTATTCGGGGGCCTCCTGCTGC